GGAGAGATGGCGCAGAGGTTAAGAGCACTGTCTGCTCTTCAAGAGATCCTAAGTTCAATTCCCAGCAACCACATGGTGGCTCACAACCATCTGTAATGAGATCTGGTGCCCTCTTCTGGCCTGCAGGGACACATGCAGACAGAAAACTGTACAAAATAAATAAATAAATAAATAAATAAATAAATAAATAAATAAATGTTTAAAAAAAGAGTGATAATCAAATAGATCCAGAACAGCTTTTAGACAAAATGTATTCTCCTTCATTGATGAAAGCACTCAAGTAGAAGGAGTCTTATTTAACTTGATTGGAGGTCCAGTCTAAAGTCCTTCAGGTGTCATCCTAGATCAGGAACTATAAGGACATATTCTGCTCTCACTGTTTGTACCAGAGTTATATGGAGAATTGGGCAAAGCAATGAAAAACAAAGAAAGGGAAAAGAACAGACATCCAAATGGTCAGGGAAGTAAATCTTTCATGATCTTACAAGGACACTTGAGCCTCTTGTCACCAGTCCGGATGGCCTCATTTGGATCCCTAGGACCTACAGTATGTTGGAAGTCCCCAGAGAACCAACTCCCTCAAGTTGTCCTGGTATTCACCTACATGTTCTGGCATACACATACACAAACACACACACACACACACACACACACCCCAAATTACTAAATAACTACATGCAATTTTTAATTTAAAAGCTGTGAGAACTAATAAAAAACAGCTTCAACAAAGTTTTGCAATATAAATCAACATGGAGTCATTACTTGTACCTCACACAGTAAAAGTGAACCCAACAAACATGAAAATTTAGAAAGGCATTTTAATAGCACCAAAAAAAAAAAAAGAGTGAAATACTCACATTTATACAGTTGAGGGTGTAGTTCAGTGGTAGAACATGTATTAGGTTAAAAAAACAAACAAACATGGGTTAGGTTAAAAAAAAAAGATAGGTGTGGTGGTGCACACTTTTAATCCCAGCACTCAATTTTCTCTTTTTCTATTTTTTAAGATTTATTTATTATGTATAGTTTTCTGCCTGCATGTCTGCCTCTCAGGCCATAAGAGGGCACCAGATCTCATTATAGATGGTTGTAAGATACTGGGAATTGAACTCAGGACCTCTATGAAGAGCAACCAGTGCTCTTAACATCTGAGCCATCTCTCCAGCCCACTAATCCAAGCAATCAAGGAGGCAGAGGCAAGTGGATCTCTGTGATTTCAAGATCAGCCTGGTCTACATAGCAAACTCCAAACCAGCCAGGGATACAAAATGAGACCTTGTCTCAAAAAAAAAAAAAAAAAAAAAAAGGCTCTTTAGTTGTACCAGCTGCTTTCATACCCCACAGCCACATGTGACTGGTGCCCAAAGCACAGCCTGGCACGGACATCAACCATTTCCAACATCAGAGAGAGTCCCACTAGATACTGAAGCTTTAGGGACAAGCTCGCCCCATGGGGCAGTTGGCAAGTGTATCACTGCAAATGAATGGAGAGGGGACAGCCTTTACACTAAATGGTGTTTAGACAGGGAAAAGCCATATTCCCAAGGAAAAAGAAAGTGTTCTTGATTCCTACCTCTCTTCATAGACAAAAGTCAGTCCCACACGGGTTTCAAAATCAAATATAAGAGAAGGGTGTTGGATTTTTAGCAGTGGAATTCTCTCCAGTGACCGAAGCAGAGGAAATACCAAAAACAGGCAGATTCCCATGGCTGAGGGAATTCCCAGGGCCACTTTCTGTGGACACATTTTATCAGACTAGACATTTTTTTAGTCAGAAGTGAGAGTAGCATACTGTATACTCTCTGTTCGCACTGAGTTCAAAGCAGACAGGAGCATCTTCGCCATGCACAGTTAAGTCAGTGGGTACCTTGGGTTGAGGAGGGGGCATCTGGAGGTCCTGTGTGGGTCTGGAAGCCCTGGTGATGTCCAAGCTCCTGTGCATCAAGCTGTACATCTGTGATCTGTGTGCTTTTCTCTCCAGGGATGTAAAAAGGTGTTTATAAGAGCCCCTTTCTTTGACATGAATAAATGGTTCTTACTGAATACATCCTTCATGACGATAAAGTTTTTTCAAGGATTTTTAGGTGGTACAGTACTCAGAGGAATGGGGATATTACTGACAGGAGGGCTAGCCGATATGATGGAAAAGCATGGACCTTGCCAGTGGTCAGTTCTAGACACAAACTACAGAGAAATTCCATCCCTTGTGCATAAGAAGTAGACAGCAGTACTCACTGTGGGCTAACAAGTAACAGACACTAGATCAAACCGCTTGGGAAGGTCAACAGAGAAATTGATTAATAAAGTGTGGTGTTTTGTACAATGAAGTTCACCAGTGAAGAGGAATATATGCACTTATATAATTATAAAATCTAAAAAGGGAATGATAGTTACAGAATATGTATAATAGCACATGTGTATGATGTATTACGTGTAATAACATGAAACAGTGCTGTGTGTACTTTTTACACACAGCATTCACATGGCCCTGCACTTTGAAATGGCTGAGGATGCTTAGAAGCTATAGCAGCCACAGCACGTGAAACAATGGATAAGAGAGCTGAATAAGGAGGACAGAAGAAACTTCAGCTTGATCTTGTCCAGTTTCTTTCATCTGAAAAGCAAATGTGAGGATGGTGATGGCTCAGCAGGTGAAGGCACCTACCGCCAAGACAGCGGCCTTAAGTTCAATCCCCTGAACCCACAGGATGGAAAGAGAAATGACTCTTTCAAGTTGTTCTCAGACCTCTACATACCACAGTGACACATGTGTGCACATGCAGATACATATTTACACCCATCTACCCCCCCACACACACATACACACACAAGTGCACACAAATGTGTACAAAATAAGTAAAATGTAATAAGTTTTTTAAGCAAATGTGGCAAAATATTAACATCTGTCCACTGGTGGCGGCTTTTTTGGTGTTAGCATTTTTTTACCTCTTTGTTCAGTCACGCAAAATAAAAAAAAATAAAGTTCAGATAATAGTATCATTCATCATTTAGCCTTAAACTTGTTGTTTAGGTATTTTCTGTTCCTGTTTGTTTTAAGAAAAAAATGTATATAAATATAAGTAGGGCTGAGAGAGCCGTTTCCTTTCTTTTGTTTATGTTCACCAAAACATGCTTGTTTTATTTAACATCTGAAATGTTTGATATTGAAATGTGACCTTTATACAAACTTGTGAGGGGTGAGACAAGAGGATTACAGTTTTAGCACAGTCTGAGTGCCACGGGCCTGCTTCCTGTGATACCCATCCCCCCACCCACCTCCATCACTAAAGCATCCCTTTGTGTTACAGCCAAAGTATTTGCAAGCAAAGAAGCAAGAAATCATAAAGGTTTTCCTTGTGGGTGCTTATCAAGATGGGACCACTGATGTGTACTGGATCAGTGCCCAGACTCTGAATGACTGACAAGGGTTAGGACTCTCACCTTTTCCATGGCCTGTGGAGCCTGTGCCAACCCCTGCATTGAATCCAGGGAGCCCCCAAAGTTCTAGAGGGATGGAAGGCATGTCACAGCACACAAAGCCTGTTGTTTGGCTGTTGTTTGCCCAGCCTGGTTTTGACTTTCCACCTCCCTTTCATCACCTTGGTAGAATGTACACTTGGTTATTTTAGTTTTGTTCAGCAGCGCCAGGACCTTTAAAGTGCTAGGCAAGTGTGCTGCAGCTGAGCCACATCTCCAGCCCTGCTCAGTTTAGTTGTCTTAGGTTTGCACTTTTACAGACATAACCACACACTGAGACAATTACTCAGTAGACTGGCCACCTGTTCAGTAATCTTCTGCAGCATCCCCCAGACAATTGCCTTGACCATATTTGAAAAGTTAACAAAGAAATGTAAACTTAGAACAGACTAAATATTATACAGTGAGGTCCAAAATGGAAGCTTGTAAATACATAAATACGTATGCATAGTCATGAATACACCCATCCCCTGCCCTCATGAGTCAACCAATGTCCTCAGCTGAAGCTGAACTTGACTTCACATAGAGCATTCCTCTCTGCAGCAGATGGGAGGAAGTTAGCCTAAGAGACTGGGCAAGTTCATCTTGAGACTCTTTCTGGCTCTAAGTTCAGAGCCCTGGATGTATGTAGACAGTCTGTCATCACTGGGTGCTCTAAAGAAGCCCCGGGACTGTCCAGCAAGCTCAGTGGTGGTGGCTAAGTAAGTCAAGGGTCAATTATTAGCAATTCTTTCCACTGTGACCTGTAGCCATGTGCTCTGTGGGTGATTTACCAGTACAAAAGGTGATAGTTTAGGTCAGTCTGCCTTTGTCCGTTAACAGGTTCTAAACTCAAGGTGGGATGAGTATTAACAACTGTTTCCTCAGAAACTTGGTCAATTGCTAAAAGACCTTAAAATGATAAATTAATATAATCCATGTTACCTCCTAATAGTTTATATACCCATAGTTATTCTGTTGAATAGTTAAAATCATTGCTCACCAACTTTTAAATTTCACGAATGGTTTAAAACTAAATATATCCTCAGTTTTTTGTGGTGTGCTTAACCTCTCCTAGCTTGAGACAAGCATCAGTAAAGTATGCATTTATAATTTAATATGTTATCTGCAAAGGTATAAGCATTCACAGAAAATATACTTCACTTAAACATTTAAGAGTAAAAAGAGCACACACACACTCACACACACACACACACACACAACGGCCAGCTCAGTTGCTGTAACAGACACTGCTATGCACATTGCCTCTGTGTCTTGGCGGGAGGCAGTGATTTTTTAAGGCTGGATTAGTCTTCTAATCTCTTTGGGGTTTGCTTTATATTTGTGGTGGTTTATGACTGACATCTAATGTAACTATACTTTCTGTTTATATTTAATAAAAGATTTGTTTCTGTGGCAGGACACACATTTGCACTCTGCTGTTGAACAAAAGCTACTGTTCTGCAAGAAGGGTATAAAATGTTGATTTATAATGACACAGGCCAATAACAGCAATGTAATTCTTCCAAACTATTTCTTCCCAGGTCCTGGCAAGAGCATGGCTGAAGCAAAGAATGATTCTTTTCCTTTAAAATATTCTGCCTTTAATACATCTATCCATGCTGGGATTAGATACAAAAATTGGAAACTCCTCACGGGCCACCCAGGTAGACTGCTTAGCTCACTTCTTACAGCTGCCAGAGCAGGGGCTGTGTCCCCAATCTTTCTGTCCTCTTGGGACTTCACTCTCGGGGCCATTCCCATAGAAAGGGAGGTTGTTATCACTGTGTTCTAAGCCCTTCTCCTTTCCTAGCTCCTCAAGGCTCCTTGCCAAACCCCCTGTTTGCTGAGACATCTGAAATGCTAACTAGTCCTTCAGATCTTTTATGGTCCCTGCAGATCTTAAGAAAGCAGCTATCTACTTGGGGTTTCACGGCCTTTGTCTGGTCCGTATTACACAACCTCGGCTATTGTTGTGGCCTAAGTAGACTTTCCACCAAAATGATGGCTGCTTTTTTTTTTTTTTTAATAATAAAAAATGTTCTCATCTCTCTGAGGCTGAAGAGTGGAGGAATGGCTTCAGCTGCCCCTCTGTTCCTCTGAGTTTGGGTTTTTGTTTTGTTTTTAATTATCCGTCATGGGGTTCAGAGAAGAAAAATCCCACTTGAATGATTCATAGACTGTATGGATTTCAGACACGTGTGGCTGTCACGCATAGCACACCTAGATAACCAAGAACTTTTACCAATGCTGCGTCTGCTTCACTTACACCAGTCTCAGAAGGGACATGTTGGCATATTTACACGGGCTCTGGTGCAATGTAGCCATGCTTAGCTTGTGAGTGTTCTTGGTGTCTACAATGACAATTCATTATTCGGGAATGTCCCGTGTGTTGCACTGTGTTGTGCTTGCTAAATACTGGGAGTATATTCATTCCCCCCACTCCCAGCCACTGTGACAACTAAAATTCTTCTCCTGCCTCCATCCCACACATACTTTTAATGTCTCTTGTTGTAAAGCTATGGGATCTGTCCCATTAAAGTATGGAAATCATATTCTGAGACAAAGCTAGACTCAACACCAAAAGACTCGTGGGTTTTTTGTTTTGTTTTGTTTTGGTTTCTATTATGACCATACCCACAGCCAGGGAAGCCTTGTCCCCCAGATGCCCTGAGATTAGAACCCACAAGCAGTGCTTCTCCCGCAGTGAAGTTTCGTGTCTTTTTCCCCAGGCTGTGGTTTCTGGTTTCCACCTCCATCTCAATCCAACATTTCTGAGATACGTTCACTGGACTCATCATCCAAGACGCTCTGGCTGTTTGATATCAATCAGGACCCTGAAGAAAGACACGACCTGTCTGAGAAGCATCCCCACATCGTCCTGAAGCTGCTTTCCCGCCTGCAGTACTACCATGAGCACTCTGTGCCTTCATACTTCCCACCCATGGACCCCCGTTGTGATCCCAAGGATACTGGTGTGTGGAGCCCCTGGATGTAGGGCTACAGAGGGGCAGGAGTCTGGAGCACAGTTAGGTGTAGGCTAGACCTCAGGCCCCTACTCTGCTGACTTCTCTCTCTTTTTAAAATCACCCCAGTCCCCGCACCTAGCACTCATGCTACATAACCCACTGAAGGAGTCCAGTTTCAACCCACAGTACTGTAAAAGCTGGCTGATCCTGCTGTTGGCTGGAGTTAGTGTCTGGAGCCCAGGGTGGCTGGGTTCATCCTGCTTCCTAAACTGCAGTCGCTGGGAACTTGACATAGAGAGCTATTCCTGAGGCCAGAGCAGCTGGCTCTTTTTGCTTCACAAGTCAGTCATTAGAACTCCCTCTGCTAATAACCAATTTTATTGGCAAGACACATGTAACGAAGAGAGCAGATGATTGCTAGTGGTTCTGCTGGCCATAAGGGCTCCCTGTCTGTGAGATCTTGTTCACCTTTCCACATCCATGACCCGCCAGCTCACCCCTCACTCACTCATCTCACTGTGGAGCAGGAAGCCCATTGCAATAAGCCAGCATAGAGGATGCCTATACCTTCATTTTAGTTTCCAGATAACTAAATGTGTTTTATCCTACTACCCCACCCACTATTGCTCATTCTGTCTAGACTTCTGCTAGCTTGGCTTGTGTGGCTCTATTCTTGTTATGCCTTTGGACTTTACTGTCCTGTGTCTGAGGTCACTTTCCCCTCTACTCCAAGCATTCTGAGCTCTAGGATAGTCTCAAGCCCTGCCCAGAGAGGGTGGACTAGTCATTCCATGGCCATACTCATGGGCATTGTGATTCTGTGGCATCTGCAAAGAGGTTTATTCCAGTTGCATGGAATCCAGCAAGATTGTGGCTGTGCCACCCAATATGCCATGATCTATGCTGCTTTCTCAAGTATTGGGAAGAAAGGCCAGGAAAGCACTTTTGTCCTGAGATGATGGAAGGGGCAGTTTGAGAAAGGGAGTGGCCAGAGTTTGGTGTGTTGGCCTTAGTAAAGCCGAAGAGACATCATCCTTATTCCTCTCATTCTGTTTCACTGCCTCTTATTAGGGTTCTGGGGTTGAAGAATGAGGATACTCTATTTGACCTTCAACCCTTTCTCAGACCCTATTATATCCCACCAATGTGACTCCATCCAGGTTAGCCTCAGAGAAGATAGAAGCAGAACCATGCTCCTCATCAGCACCACTGCCTTGTTCCCAGCTTACACCAATGCCTGCAACAGGGTCTGGGATATAGGCACCCAATATGCTTTTTTAAATGAATGAATGAACCGAATAAACAGGAAAGACTCACCATGAAAGATACTAGTCCAGTGATCTGACTAAAAGGGCAGTATAAATATCCTCTAGTCCATGCTAGTCTGTCCTTAAGCTGTCCCCTCTGCTCTGGTGGGAGCATGATCTGCGTATCTGGACAGTCACTGGCCTTGCATGGCAGGGCTGTGATATCCTCTCTAGGGGGACAAAAGGGAATTCTTTTTCTTAGGTGTTCTCCTTTCACAACAATCTCCATTCCCATTCTTAGCTGAGCACTAGAAATTAAAACAACCAAATAATATGGTACAGGTCTTTGTGTATAGCCATCTTCAGTTCAGTAGCACTATTTCCTAACCATTAATATTCTGTATTTTATTGTGGTAAGACTATTGCAAGAAAATGGTGCTAAAGCTAATGACATCTTTTACCAAACTTTACTCAACTGGGCTGGCAGATAGCTGGCCATCAGGCCACCTCTTACTCCAGAGCCTATGACAGAGAGTCTGAATGGTGTGAGTCTGGACGCTCCTTCTGTCCCATGGCTGTAGGTGGCCTTTATTCTTCTGAGACCGAAGGCCACTAATTCATAACACCCATTTGTTTTTCCCTTACAATTTTCTAAGCAGCTGCCCTCAGTCCTAGCTCTTTGATTGTGGGCTATCCTTGGAATGTTAACGGGTTAAAGAAGATTTTAAGAAAGTAATGTTAAAAAATGACTAGAGATTCTGTCTAGTAGAGCAAATAGGATGACATAGGTCTCAGGATCCATCTCCTTGGATTTTCATGATTTATACAAAAAGAAAAGATTCTTAACCTATCTTTAGAAGTATTAATGTTAGTTCTTTCCAAATGTGTTTACCTTTAAAGAAGGTTTTGTTTATTAACTTTCGAACTTGTCTCTTTGTTACTGACTGTTCTAGATTTGAGGGACAAAATAAAATTAACTTTTCTAAAACTGCCAGCCAAGGGGGTCTCTGCTTGTGATTTTTGAAAGTTCAGGAGCTCAGCAGTGGTGGCAGCTGAATGTCATGATGGACCCATTGTACCATAACACTGTAAGGTGGTGAAAAGGAAAGATTTTGTGTGATAGAGGCATTGCCACATTTTTTTTTCTGATTTGCCAGTTTTATATTACAGGAATTGTATCTCAACACATCTGTTACACAAATAAGAGCAAATATATTACAGGGTTTTGTTTTTTTTTTTTTTTAAATATGTACTGCCCATGAGATTGCTCAGAGGGTAAACCACTTATCATGTAAGCCAAATAACCTGAGCTTGACTACAGAACCCACATAAGAGTGGAAAGAACTGATTCAATAACTTGTCCTCTGACATATGTGCCCTGTCACACACATATACACAGTAGTAATAAGTAAGCATTTAAAAAGAAACAAGTGAGACATTGCCCTAAAAACATACATCATGGGGCTAGGGATCAGAGTGCTTGACTCATGCACTGGATAGCACCACAGAAAAGGAACGTTCACTGCCAAGTATTAGAGACATCTATAGTGGCATCTTGTTTCACCAATGAACTTGCCGTGGTGGCCCCATCCTAGGGGCGTGGCTTCAGGTGTGCAGACATGACCCCTTATAAGGAAGAGGAGGGGTTGGCTGGCTCTCTTGGCCTGTAGTCAGAACTCCGGAAGGGCAGAGACTGCATCTTCTGGAACAGGAAGATCGAAGAGGCTATTTACTATTAATTGTGTAAGTGCTTCCCTAATAAATACCTGTTAATCATTTACCTTGGGTCTTGTGGACTCATTTAAACCCCTCCTTCAGGTATCTGGGAAGGGCAGGCATGAAAATAGTGATGACAGAAGGTGGTAGATTTTTGATTGCTGGCTAAGACATGATCCCGAAATGTAGAAGCCCAAAACCATAGACATTGATTCTTGCACACATTGCATAAGGGAAAGGACTCATGGTTTAGCTGTGGGTTCTGCCACGAGTCTATGGTCCAGCAATTGAGGAGAGATGATCTGAGGCTTGGATGTGATTGGACAATTCGTTCTGAGATGCCTCGTGTACTGGCTGTCGCCAGAAGCTTGGGTTCCTTGCCATGTGGGCATCAGAGGTGACTATGAGAATGTCCTCATGGGGCAGGTAATCTAGAGAGGGGGCAACAGGCAGGGAATGTCAGACCCTTTTCTGACCTTGTCTTCAAAATTGAACATGGTCACTTCTGCTTTTATCATATTCATTATAAACGTCACTAAATGAAGCCCATACTCAGGTGAAAGAGCCCACTTTTGAAGAGACGGTTAGATCTGTGCTTGCATTTTGCTACAATGGACACAGTTCACCTCCTGTGTAAAAGGTTGTCCAGTCAAATGTATCACATGCTTCTGTTTGAAAAGAGATGTCAGGAAAAGATTCCAGCTTTATTTTAGTGGTAGAACAACCACTAAAGCAAATCATCTAACCAGCTCAGTGCCTCAGCTTCCCCCTCTGGTAAGGAGATGATTGAATTAGCCAATCCCAACATGCAATCTTCGTCCAAACATAAAATTACTTAAAACAAAACATGAAAGAATTGTTCTACGTCTTCAAAAATATTTATTTTAGTGTGTGTGTGTGTGTGTGTGTGTGTGTGTGTGTGTGTGTGTGTGCACATGTGTACATGAATGTACATATGAGTGCCCGAGAAGCCAAAGAGGATGCAAGGTCCCCTGAAGTCAGCTGCCTTGGGTGCTGGGAGCTGAGCTTGGGTTCTCTGGAAGGTCTGTAAGGGCTCTTAACTTTTGTGCCATCTCTCTAGACCCATTTTATGACTTTTTTTTTTTTTTTACAAGAGTCATTAGAGGAAAAGCTCAAGTATCCATTAACATATAAGTGGCTAATAAAACATAGTGTATACATAATAGAATGTTTCCCAGTCACAAAAAGAAGTGGAGTTTTCATACATTCTGAACTTTTGAAAACATTCTGACAGGTAAAAGACACTGGACATGAAGGAAAATACTGCATAATTCCACATGCAGGAATTATTAAAAACAGGAGGATACAGGGCCAGTGAGATGGCTCAGTAGGGAAAGGTGCTTGCTGCTGAGGCTGGTGACAGAAGTTCCACAATGGAAGAGGAAGCCCATCCTCCACCCTCCCCATGCCACAGCACACGTGTGTGGCATCATCCTGCCCCAACACACACTAAAATGTTTTTTTAAAAAGTTTTTAAAGAATAGGCAAACGTAATACCCAAGTGTAACATGTAAAGACAGGAGTAAAGATACCACTCGGGTCTTGGGAAGTGGCGACTGGGAAGATAGTGTCCAGTAGGGACAGAGTGCCTGAAGAAGACTTAGAAGTAAGTGGTGATTTCAGTTACCTGACGGCGTGAATATAGCTAGTACCATTGAACAAGTTATGGTTGTGGCTGATCTTGTCGACTTCATTAGATTGAGAGAAGATTGGTAAAGCAATGTAGCTGACGGCATTTCCAGGAAGTCTCTACTAAAGGGGGAAGGCCTGCCTGGTGTGGGTGGCTCCATCCCAGAGCTGCGGATCTGGATGGAGTGGGGGAGGGGTGGAATATGCATTCTACTGGCTAGCACAGGCATTCCCATTCTCTGTGTCCTGTCGCCATGAGGTGAGCAGCTTCTGCGGCATTCTCCCACTACCCTGGCGCATGGCAGGAGAGGTGACCAACAGCAAAGCTTTACGTCGTGCGTGTATGCATTATCACAATATAAAGAAATAGGAGAGGAGAGTACACCAGAGTTCAGAGCTGAGTCGTGGAGAGAAGCAGAGACCAGCAGGAGATATGGCTGGGTGAGCTTGGGTCTCCGTGGGCCTGGGACTCCTTGGGCTTGGAGTTCTGTGGGCCTGGGGTTCCGTGGGCCTGGGACTCCATGGGCTTGGAGTTCTGTGGGCCTTGGGGTCCATGGGCCCGGGACGCCCTGGGCTTAGAGTTCTGTGGGCCTGAGGCTGGGTGAGTCCAGGCTCCGTGGGCCTGGGGCTCCGTGGGCCTGGGGCGGTCGTGAAACCCCATCCGTGAAAGCAGCTGCACACCTGCCTCACATGCAGGTGTGATTTCTAAGTAACTAATTAATGGGTGGTGATGGAAGTCAACACAGTGGTTGTTGTGGAGGTGGGAACCCTTCGGTGGTCAGATGCAACCTTAGTCTCCTCATAGGTATATGCAGGTGTAAACACTCATCAGGATACACTGATAGTATACACATAAGGAGTATATCTTACATCCACTTACAAAGGTCTTTTAAGCAAAGCAAGACACCTGGCCTTCGAACAGACCAAGGACCACATATTTATCTTTTTAACAAACAAAGTAGGATTGTAAATATGGGCACATAAATACAACATTTTCAGTGTTGTGGGGAAACACTTTAGTTTTTGACTACCATAAGTGCAAATGTTCTGAGACTACTTACTCCAAAGGGATATGAATTAAAACCTGTGTGCCCACTCTGCTGTTCTCCATGAGCTTCAAGAGTGGTTTGGTTAACATGGGCTGGTGTGCCATCCGTGAAGCCTGCAAGCCCGGGGTATGGCGTCTCTACAAGACAGGGTTCCGAAAAGCCAAGCAAAGGGGGCAAGCACATGTCACTCATGTAAACAGAACTTTCCTGGCTTTTATTTACACTCATTGAATTGAATCTTAGATCCCCAGAAGTGGGATCATGCAAGTCTATGTGGTGATGTGCTTCAGAAAGGAAAATGGGTAGAGTCAACCAAGGTTGGTGCCTGCCCCCAACAGGGTAAGAGAATGAATGCTTGGGCAGATACCCCAACTCCCAAGGGTGAGGCAACAGAATGTAAGAATGTTCCAGAGTGGGGCCTGAGAGCAGAAGGGGTGTGAGGGTCTCACTAAACTGATGAATGTAGCTTGCAGGTCAATGAGGGAATTCAATTTATCATAACGTTTTCTATCTTGTTTTTTACCTCCATGAGACTACTGATAACACCTTTGACTATGCACACTTGGACTCAGTGATAGAAACAGCTGGTGTGATTTGAAAGGGTGACAGGGATTGAAATGATGCCTTTATATTTATGAAACACAGCTGGTGGGACTAAGTGCCACCCCAGCCAGGACTTTGGAGTGAGGAGAAGGGTCCTCCTCTATGTATCCTGTAGTGCCCTATCTCCACGGCCCACAGGTCCAGCTGTGCTGTTCCTGAGGGCAGCCAGCAAGCTTGAAGTTTCCCAGAGTGCCCAGCCCACCCCTGCCACTCATCCAGACCCACTCACTGCTACAAGACAATATGGAACTTTCCCCCAAATTCACATGAGCACTCTGTAAATACTTTCAAGTACTGCTTTTTAAAATCACCACGAGAAAGAGAAAGTAATCAGAGAAATGCAATGAATACAAATTGCTCTTAAATGTTAGCTCAGAATTATTGCCAGCCTGGAAGAAAGAACTGAAGTGTGAATAACCTTTCACCCAGTGAGCTGGGGTTACTGATGCCAAGACTGACTTGGCAGCACTGCCTGAAGGCTAGGAGACAATTGCCAGGATGCAGAGGCAGCCTAGAGTAGGGAGAGAGGACTTTTGCCAAATACCAGATATGGGGTTGATATGAGAAGAACTGCAAGACAAAAGAACATTAAAAATGAGTCATCCAATCAATAAATGGGCTAACAAACTGAATGGAGTATTCTCAAAAGAATCAATACCAGTGCTGGGGAGATGACATATTAGCCAAGTACACTTGCTGTGCAAGCCTGAGGTCCTGATTTCAAGTCTCCAGTACCCACACAGAAAGCCAGGTGTGGCTGCACCTTTCTGCAGCCTCAGTGCTGTGGGCAGTGGAGACAGTGGTTTCTAGGGCTTGCTGGCTGCCAGCCTTACTCCAAGATCAGTGAGAAATCCTGTCTTAAGGGAGCAGGGCAGAGAGTGAGTGATAGGACATCTGAGTCTCTTCTGGATTCTGCACACATGCACACAGGCATGTGCATACAATACACACACACACACACACACATACACACACACACACACACACACACACACACACACACAGAGAGAGAGAGAGAGAGAGAGAGAGAGAGAGAGAGAGAGAGAATACAAATAACCAATGATTATTTTTAAGTGTTCAGCATCCTCAGCCATCAGAGAAAACTGAGATCTTGTCTGGCATGATAGTGCATGCCTTTAATCCTAGCGCTCAGAGGCTGAGGCTGGCAGACCCCTGTGAGTTCTAGATTAGGCTAGCCAAAGCTACGTGGTGAGACCCTATCTCAAAAAACAACAAAAAGCTAAAACTGAGATTCCATCACACTCCAGTTAGAATGGCTGTCATCAAGTTAACAAATGGCAAGTACTGGCAAGGACAGAGGAAAAAGGAGCCCTCATACACTACTACTAGGAGCATAAACTGGTGTAATCACTATGAAAGTCATGAAGAGGTTTCCCTAATTCTACAAATAGAACTACCATATGTCCCAGACCTGTCACTCCTGGGTATGAGCCTGCAGGACTATATCAACCAACCATGCAGGTACTTGCCCAGCTGTGCTGATGGCTGCGCTCTTCACAGCATCTAAGAACAGGAAAGGGCATTGCCCACGGTATGAGCATGTCACTCAAGCCTGCATTTAGTCTTCCCTTCCAACATGAAGAATCTCTGCTCTTGCCATCTGTCCCTTGACACCATTCAGCTCCTCTAACCTGCCAGTGACTTTGAACTTTAGGCCACTTACTGGTCCTGTGTGCAATTTGTCTC